AAAAAACCGAAACGTCTCGCGCGACACCGCGGGATGCTGCGGCACATCACGGCATTCATGGGATGCCATGACACACCGCTGCGCCACGTGAAACGCATAATGAAGTAAATGTTACTTCATGAAGTAAATGTAAGTTTTAAAAGGCATGCGACTGCTAAGTAATTGAAACAAGGTTGAATCTAACCCGTTGCGACAGCAACCTCAGCGAATCGCGCGGGCGGCAGGTACACGAGCGCGTCTTGACTTGTTTGGTATTCACACCCTTAATATTAGAGATGGGCCGAATATTCGTTTTATATTCGGTTCTCGGCATATTCGGCAGCTTTACCGAATATTCGTATTCGGCCGTATATTCTGCTGAATCGCCGAACAGTCGTTAAAGCGGTACTGAAAGTGTCCACTGTATTGAAAAGTATGAATTGAGTAACCTAATGCCATGTCTTTCATAATTTTACTATTGAAAATAAATTTTATTTATGGGTTAAATCTACTTGTTTAGCGTAATATTTTTGAGGAACTGTAGATTTATTTCCAATTATAACAAATATGTAGAGTGCTTGATATTTTTTTTTGGAATTAAACAAAAATTACATATTACATTAGTACGTTTCACTTTACTTTTGTCGTAAGGGTCTCTAAAATAAATCCAAATAGTAGATCGCCTACCACTCATTTTTATCATATAATTATCAATTTTCACAAAGAATAACACAATAAAATACTTTTTTCCCACAAAAATAGTCAAAACAAAAGCATGTACCGGCAATTTGCTCAGTACTAGATGATGCAATAACATGTCAGGTGTGGCGGGGGAGCGAGGGGCAGGGTCCGGCGCTACTCCCGCGCGTTTTACGCCAGTGTTGGCTGCTAGTTTTACTGGCACCCAGTGCTGGCTTATTATTCGACTCGTATAAACAGTTTTTCAAGACAAGCCAGCGCTGGCTGCCAGCACTGGCGGGAATAGAGCACCTACCTATTTTTCAAGCCAGTGACCTCCGCCCGCATGCTCCGCAACCCCCCGCTCCAGAATAAATAATTTGTAATATAAAGAATTTACTATAATATATATTAATTGATATTGTACAAATTCTTATATTTGATGTATGTACTATATGATAAACATTATTTTCAGTTGAAGTTTAAAAAATAATTATTTTCATACAACGTTTTACAAGAATAATCTAGGAATGAAATGAATCCATTTGGCCTCGTCTAAACAAAACGGGCCAGACCAGCTGGCTTGTCTGAGGACTGGCGCCAGCGTTACTAGCTTCGTGTAAAGGTTGTTTAGGTACCGAGGTGATCCTGCCGAATAATGTTCGGCCGTTCGGTTCTGTATAAGTTTTACCGAACTTTCGGGCGAATATTCGTATTCGGTGAAATCCATATTCGGCCCATCTCTACTTAATATTCACTGTCCTTCATTAGTACTATTATTTATTCTATGCCTTCAACTATTCGATTGTTCGTTTATTTTTATATTTTCTATATACATATTAATATATATATATATATATATATATATATATATATTTTTTTCATCTTTTAGTGTGTGTGTGTGTATGTGTGTGTGTATGTATATAACATCTGTTTCGTTAGTATCTTCAGTATCTAGTAATCAAAATATTTAGTTTTCATTTGTGAAATATTAATAATGATAAACAGAAAAAATACATATTTTATGTGTTTATCTTTTCTTTCACATTTACGATAAACGGCTTCGAATTTTATGTTGTTAAAATTATAAAAAGATCGATTAAGATAGTTCTACGTGTAAAATACCCTTTATAGGCTACCCGACTCTTCAGTAGGCGATTTTAGGCTACATTCAAGAAATCAAAATTAGGCGAATTTAGACTACTTGGCGTCACAGTTAGGAGGTAATCTGTGACTTGGAGGAGGTAATTTGCGACTCGGACATGACAACACTGATACCGAAATGTGCATTGCCGCGCCGTAACATGCCGTGCCGCAATGATAGTGTACCTATTTTACAAAGGAGGATCACTGCCGTGGCATCTGTGAGAGCAGGCCTATACTATTATTTTACTACGCAAAGAAAACCCGAGCATAGATAATAAATTGTCCTCTCCATAGCCCGCTGAGTGGCTAGATCATATGACGAAATATTTAATTTGTTTGATAGGTAAAATTATTTTGCTTTTAAAACACGCAATATCAATAATAATTTCTATTGCGACAAGATTTCATTCTATAAAATCATGTTTTTTTACTACTTGCAATCAAATGACAAATTGCAAGAATTGGTGTCAGCTGCCGACACCGTCGACGACGGCAGTCAGCGCGCCGTTAATGGCGTCTCTATTAGTCTACAACTGCTGTTACGACTATAATAATTATATTATATAATGCCCTACAGGTTATCCGTACAGTGTGAGTGTAAGATAGGAAATAATATGAAAATGCTACGAAATTATTTATATAAAAAAGGTTTTTTTTAGTAATGGGCTCGTACGGTTATACTTTTGCCAGTGTCAAGTACATGTAAGAAATAATCCTATATAATAATTTGTTTCAATACTTCTTCACAATATGTTGATATGTCACATTGCAAAGTTTTTAGTAGATTATAGCCAGCAGCCACAGTCGACGACGATAGTATATCAAAGCGCCTTAGCAGACACCCTTATGTTGAAAATCACATTACCATTGGAGCAGCGATTTATAACGATTCTATTAGCGATGGATAACGTATATTTTATCATAAAATATAAGAGAAATGAATCTATTTATTTATTGGATTGCATCGACTAAAAGGCCACCGAAGCATCATGATGCAGCGCTGTTATTCTGTCGGCGCCACTAACAAGTCAACGAGCTGTCATCAGGCATAATATTATATATTAAACTGTAACAAGACTTGTCCATGAGTAGTTGTTTACATCACTGCATCAATACTAAAGAGTCTATGGACAAGCCTTGTTATAGCCGAGAAAATAATAGCGTACCAGTCGAGGGTCGTTCCAAGGAGGTTATAAATAAATATATAGGGAGTGCGCACTTCATACTAGAAAAACGGTCCTAAATCGGTGACCTTGAAATGAATGAAAGGCACCGAGTTAGGCGTTCCGTTTCTTTCTAATGGAGTGTCCATGATACAATATTTTGAGGATATTAATAGTATGTACTTACAGAGTTACAGAAAACGGAATGCGTATTTTTTCAATATGTAAAGCGCTGAAGTGTTATAATTAAACTCCGTTTATTATTTTGATTATAATATTGCTTCGCTACGGTATCAAACCTTACGGTAACCTTAGCGATCAAACAAATCGCACTCAACCAAGCATACTTATTAATAGAATTTAAGCTTATATGAAACTCAATTTCTTCTCAGTCACGATGTTTGCCTAATAGGTGGCTAGGTTTGAACCCATCTTTACCACACCAGTTTCACCACAGGAGCCAACATGTCACATGGGCTTCCTGGTTAGCCGAAATAAATATTTAAGGGTAAAAAAAACAACGAGTTTTATTATTTTTTTTTATTAAAAGATTTATAGGTTACTAAACAAAATGGTTTTATGTAATTTTTGTCGGGATACATTCTTGGAATCCCGCAATTTCATGGTCCTAGACCTTTGATGGTGCTTTATCTTCATGTTCAGGAAACTTATCACTATAGATTTTAGCAATTGAATATTATGCAAGTCTCCGCAATCAATACCCTGGCTTAGAGAATGTGGAAACATAGATGAAATTTTATCAGAAAAATGCTGCATTACTATTTGTATGATCCTTTTTTTATAGTGCTGTTTCATAGAGTTTAAATCTATTTGTTTACATGTTCTTTCGGTGAACTTTACCACTTGGAACACAGATTGTGATGGAAAAAATAGCATGCCTCTATTTACAAAAGCAGTAAACGCTGAATGCTTATTAACATCAATTGTGTATAAGTGGTCAACATTTTTACCTATTTCTTTTATCAAATTTTGACATTCTTCACATGTTATTTTACTGTGGAGATTCTTAACAATACAACCAGTTATATAATATAATATATTATTTTGATAACTGGAAAGCGAGACATTGTTTATCAATGAAATCAATGTTTCACTTTCATTCTCTTGTTCAATCGACCCTAATTGCATTGCACGTTGAGGAGACCTAAACTCTAAAATTGGAGTTAATTCATAGTCACTATCGTAAGTATTGCTATTTACGCTTGGCATTACACTATTTTTGAAAAGTAATTTACGTAATGTGTATTTCAGTTGCAATGCATTTGGATTGTCATTGCCACCACCTCGGGCCCTTATGCAGGAAAATAACATCTCAATATGATCTTGTGAGCACTTATAAGTTAAAAAATATTTCATAGGATCTATGGTACGTGTCAGTAAATCTTTCGCCAAATTTGAAAAGCTTATCGTATTCACATAAAAACCTAAAGCGAATGTTTTTCTACGATGTTGCATTATACTTTGACCCTCAATTGTTAAATTAAGCAAGAAATTACGTATTTCTTCAAAAATAGGTTCCCAGAAGGTTATATTTTTCAAGGTTAGTGGAGCTTTCAATCCCTTCCCTATTGGATTTTTGCCGTTCATCAAATCAAAAGCTTTGTCTAAATGTCGGATATAATCAACAGTAGCTTCACTATTTTGAAATTTTTTGTTTCCGCTGACCCTTAAAAAATCAATCGAGTCAGCTACAGAGACGCTTATCAACTGACTAGCTAATTTTACATTCATTTTATTCCCCCAAAAGTTAACATGTGTATTTGTTAATTTGTTCGCAAACCTAAAACCTTCAGACTCTTGTAATTTATTTAAAGCTTTAATATATTCAAATGATATAATGCCTACATTAGATTTCATAGGGAATTCACCTAAAGTGTTTCGAGCAAGTTTCAGCATATGAGATGGGTCAAATATACAATGCACCTTAGTTACTCCATCAGGATGTTTAAAATTTGACTTAATATTAGGAACATCAAAAACGCACCCGAGCTGTTCAAATGTTCTTAGATTTACCACAGTACCATCACATGTTATCGAATGAACGATTATGTTGATATCATGCAACATTTTTATAGCTGTATGAACTAACTGCGACTGGATAGTAGCTGTTATTTTGTTTATTAAAAAGTAGCCTATACAGCATTTGAACCTACTTGTGTATGACACTATTTGAAAAATTAAAGATTCTTTCGCCACTTCATAGGAATCTACATTTTCAATTCCACCCAAATCAACATAACCCCAAGTTTTATCTGAGTTTTTCTCATACACGAGCTCCGATTTAATAGCCATTGAGTCAAAAATCAGGGCAACATGAATTAAAGCGGGATTCGTTTGGACATTTAATTTTAAAAATTCAAAAACTTCCTTAAGGAAACCGACATTACACTCTGCAGAAGAAAGCATCTTGCGAATTGTAGCAGGATGTGGCAAATTAATGCATGTGCGCAAGAATCTGTATGCCCGTGGAGAATAGTAATTAAGAGTTAGAGCAAACTGCTTAAGTTCCTTGCTATATCTTACACCTGGTGATATCTTAGATTTATTTTTAGGTTTAAATTCTGAATAAATATTGCAAAAATGATCTCTAATGATACTCTCAATATCTTCATAATGCATAGTCCTTTTTTTCACTACACTAAGAAGATTTTTCATCGACGTAATCTTCAAATCTCTGCGTTTTAATTTTTGTTTAAGAATTTTAACTTCTCTTTTTATTTGACTATTTTCTTTACCTCTTGATGTTTGTACATACTTATGCGCGACACATTTCCTTTTATTCGATTGGGGAATATTGAGTGAAGGGCTCAAATCAGATAATGGTCGCTTTCTTAATGTGATTTCCTGAGAAGATGTATTTGGCACTGACTCGTAACACATATCAATTTTCATTGAATTAGCTGGAACATCTTGGTGAGCCATGATGTTTGGTGGTTTTATTTGAATGTTACTGATCACCTTCACAGTTTCCATGGGCATCTAAAATAATATGAATTGTTAAATTACACTTCAAGAATTAAATTAGTATAATTTAATGGAATAGTAATATCATTTAATGTAATAGAAACATAAGTAATTAACCAGGACTAGAAGTTGTTAATTATTTATTTATGTTTATAGCGCAGTTATGGAATAACATATTATGTCCAGCAGAGAGAAAAATGGAATTAATTGATTGATGATGCAAGAAAACTAGAAAGAAAAATTATCATAATTTTAGCTCGGGTTAAATATTGTACAATGAATTTCAAACTTTGTTCTTCCATTTTTTTATTAATCTATGCCACATTGTTGCTTCAACTGTAGTTACTATAATTTATAAGAAGTATTATGACATTTATATTAAAATTAATACATACCGTTACTAGAACTGATGGCACTGCATTGGCTGTTAAGCGCTTTCTGGCTCCTTGGATAACAAAATCCTGACTTTTGAAATGGTTAGAGCAAACTTTTTTGTATTTAGTAGATCCTTTTACCGGAACTACTTTGAGCCATGCTTTCAGTGCATCTTCCTTCACCGGGAAACTTAAACAAATATAGATATATAATAATAATTATGAAAATAAATGCTTCCAGCTTATTGTCTCGTATTTCTTAACATGAGAGTACCCAACTTCCTTGAAGGGATTGAGATAAAGAAAGACGTGACATTCATATTATAAATCATTTTATTAACTGTGACTTCATCAAATAATAGAAGTTAGAAAAAAATAATATCTATAATGCCGCAGGTAATTGAAATCAGGACTAGATTACATTTTAATTAGGCCAAGGTCCTTCTCACACATCTTATACTACTCACTAAAAAAAAAATTACTTTTTGGATCGTAGCAGTTGGCACTCTGTGGTCTCTGCCCACCGCCATGGGAAAAAGGCGTGAGTTTTGGTTTATGTATGTATGTAACACTTTTTCGTCAATTGTGTTATTCATATTCAAAGTTATTGTTTTTATTCTTATTATTGGTCACTTTACCAACAAAACATTCTATATAATTTTCTTTGAAATATACGAAACGGTAGCAAAATATATATCTGAGAATAACAGGAGAGATCCATAATCAAAATTGAAAAATAGCAGATGCTGTATTCACGAAATTCAGACTTAAAAACAATATTAAAACTACGAAAGTGTGAACATATCACAATATACTCTATAAATTTTTCTTACCTATGGAATGACAAACCACATCCAGGGTAACTTTCACTTCTACAACCTTTCACACAACACGAAAATACCATTTTCACTAGAAAACCCGAAAAGTTCTGCAATATTAATTAAATCAATTAAATCACATTCGCTGATGACAAGTCAAACAGAGAATAGAAGCCAATAGCGCCATATTTATGCATTTAACAACGTCAAATTTTAAAATAGGTTTGTCATCTATAGCATAAAATGCACCCCATAGTTTTCAGGGAAAGTACATTCGTGTTTTAATGTTTTTTTTTCGTGTAACTTAATAATATGCTTAATTGGAATACAATATGGAATGTACCAATTATAATATGCGATAAAAATGTAAGATTCGTTCAAGCATACGTCTAAAATACTACTTTAACTCAATAACTGCCTAAATGTTGGTTATTTTTTATTTTGTGTAAACATTTATTAATGCTAGAAGGAGATATAATACCAAACTCGGTGCCTCTCTATCTAAGGAAAATGAAGAACGGTTTCAATGTTCCAAGCGCTCGCTCCCTATATATTTATAACCTCCTTGGGTCGTTCAGAGACAAGCCGCCGGAGTGACAAGAAGATTGGTGATATATTATATTATTTTGTTATACTGTGACATTGATTTAGTTTACTTGAAATAAATATTGTTATTGCATTGATTAATTCATTTTATTTAGAAGTACCCGGTTAACCGAGCTTTGCTCGGTATTTTTCGCTCGGTTTTTTTAATTCGTGTATTTTGGAAATTATATTTAGATACAAATTACATACTGATGAAATAGGAATAATATTTTTTCATCTTAGCGACATAATAGAAAAAACTTAACTGGTTATTTGAATAAAAAATCATGAGTGCAATTAGTTTAATTTAAATTTTAGTGTTTTTAAAAAATACTAAAAGAAGGGCTCGAAAAAATAGATTTTCTCAAAAAAGAAAGGAACTTGAAAAAAAATTAAAAAAAGTCGCTCGGTCAGTCTGGGCTCTAACCATGGTATTACGATTTTGTGACCTATAAACTGTCAAAATTTACCTTCTTATTCTAACGATATTGTAACAGTTTGTCATTGCCTAAAAACACGGACAAAAAGAAATTTTCTAAAAATAAATCCTAGCTAGATCGATTTATTGCCCCCGAAATTCCCTGCACACAAAATTCGTTGGAGCCGTTTCCGAGATTCCGATATAATTGCTCGTTTAAAGGTATAGGATAGGATTCCGATTCACTTTTGAGGTACCCTTACAAAACATTATAATAGCATTGTACCTACTACCACAGAATAAATAATACTACTACGTCTACTACTACTAGAAATCATAATAAATTTAAATAGATAGATAAAGCATTTACTTGTTTATGCGACTCACGTAAATTCAATGACTAAACTAGGTACAAAGTAACTTATTACAAATAAGTATAGTTGTAGCACGAATGGGTCGGCTCGACTATGGAAGGACCACGCTCTCACAGAATACCAGCGTAAAATAGTAGCTTAATGCTGCTGTGTTTCGTATGGTGAGTGTAGAGATCCATAGGCGGGAATTAAAAAAAAATAAGTAAAATCAGTTAAATAAACGCGATAGAATCCGTAAATTTAGTTTTATTCGATCATATTTATTTGCGAAAACACCTCTAAAAAATCACTATAGTTGAAATTACAACGAAATCATTCGATCTATTTGCTTGGGAATCACTCAAATATATTCATAACATCAATATTCATAATTTATTTGCTCATTATTTTGATTACTTAAATCAATAATTTTTGAAAAAATATTAGATTCTGACAATTTCCAAGCGCTTTTAATCGTCGCGGGCGCCACGCAATTTTAGATCTTATGATGGCGTTTCTTCAAGTTTTTATAGAAATTATGTATTCAATCGGATCAGTACGGCGATAGCGTTTTCGATGTGTCGTCTTAACCATGTCACACAACACGCAGGTACGATAAGATATCTGTATCTTAGCGCATATCTTTCAATATTTAATAAATAATCTATGAAATTCAATGAACTAACACACACAGCGCAGATAATGTATATTTTATCGAAACACCAACATATATAGAAAGATAGAGACAATATTATCTGCTCAAATAAATATATGTGCAGATAACACCTGCAGATAAATACAGGATAGTCGCTGAAAAATTGCGATTAAATTCGCCTCGGTCTTTTTTAAGCTTATACTATATGACATATGCAAATAAATATGACAATTTTAAGTGCTGATTTACCACGTGCTCGGCGGTGAAGGAAAACATCGTGAGGAAACCTGCATGTCTGAGGAATAAGAAAAAAAATTATTTCGAAGACTTGTGAAGTTCGCCAACACGCATTGGGGCAGCGCGGCGGACCCTTCCTTGCCATAAAATCCTCTCAGAAATGAGGGGAGGCCTGTGCCCAGCTGTGGGACGTATATAGGCTGTAAGTTTTTTTTTTATATGACGTTCTAACGAAATTCTTCGCCTTTTAGTAACTGCTAACGCAACACGTGCATCAAAATCAAATTCTGAATGCTATTCTGACGAGCTGTTTAGAAAACCTAAAAGCAATATACGCCAACTTATTGTAGGTAACACTTTGTATAAGCAATCCGCTCCAAAAACACGTCTAGTAAGTTTGAAGGATTCCGAGTGAATGTATAATTTCGTATATTATCATAACTGCGTAGTGTGTAATACTTTCAGATAGTTAAGTTTTTATAAGCAGATAAAATATTAACGTATCTGCGTAGTATGTGACTCGCTCTAATGGCATGATAATGATTCCCTAAGATCAACAAAGGGCAAATTATTTTGATTACTCATAGACATTTCATTTTTGTTTATATTATGTATAGATTATATTTTTAAGTTTTATTTCATTCCCCTTATTTTAACTGTATCTTTTAGACTTTATTCGATAATTCTATAATAATAATGTCCTCCAGACCGAATTTCGGCCACGGCGGCCTGCCTCAACGGAGGCTAGCCAACGGCGCAGGACAGGATTATAGTGCCCAAGTGTTACTCTCATAATCCGATGGGACGGTAAACCGACACGACGGGAGAGAGATCAGGCGCAGGACCAACGGCTTTACGTGCTTTCCGAGGCCCGGGGGTGAGACACCGCGAATTTCTTGACTTCGGGCAGCTACTGAGAATTTCTTGACAGAAAAACTCAATATTCGATTTTTTGGCGCGCCCCGGGATTCGAACCCAAGACCTCATGATCAGCAGCCGAACTACTACAACCGCTAGACCAACGAGGCAGACGATAATTCTATATACAGTATTTTAATACATTAATGTCTTACGTTTAATAGTAATCGTTATCTTTTCCACGCTATTTGCGAACAGTTGACTAAAATTTGTTTGAGCGTTTTTGCCTCATTTAAAATCAGGGTTTCACAAAGGACGTGACACAGCGACTGATTTACTCGATGTCACAGAAAACACAGTAGCTGAGCAAGATTCCAGTCACAGTACGATTCTAACGCTGTTGACTATTCCCGCGCTTTTGACAATGACAACGCCTTAGACAAAAATTCAGTCAAGTGGTTCAGTAGGTACTTGAGTAACCGGTTCCAGTCATTGTAAAGAGTCATGGGTCTAACGTACGTTCTCATCCTAGATTTATTAATCATAGTGTTATTTAGGATTCAATACTTGGTCCAATTCTTTTCATAATTTACTGTGGTGATCTTATCATAATTACAAACCATTTCTTGTATTCTTGTATTCCTCGTATACGTGTCAGACTTACCAGATAAATTACTACAAGCTGTAACACGGCTTAATGAAGATTTGGACTGAATTGCTGACTGGTCAATGCGAAATGCTCTGATTTTAAACCCCTCTTAGTCAAAAATATAGTCATGGGCACAAAGACGCAAATAAGTAGAGTTTGTGGTCAGTTAGACGTTAAGATTAACGTTATACATACAATGCGCGTGAAGCCTTAACAGCTTCGCATAACCTTTGACTGACTGAGATCTGAGATTCAAAAATCATGTCGTTGATATGGTCAAAAACTGTTTTTATCGTCTAAAGGTATATACCAAATCCGTCACCAACTTTCAGTACCGTCACGCGTTACTCTTTGTGAGTCACTAATTTTATCTAGACTTAACTACGAAGATGTTGTTTATGGACCGCGGATTTTCAGCAAGACAGCGACTAAAACAGCTTGTGCAAAATGCATGTTATCGGTTTCATTATGATGTCACCCTCAAAGGTCACATTACTCGTTGCTTGAACATTGCTTCAATGCTTATCATGGGCTTACGTAAGGAACTACATTCAAGAGTAAAAAATAAAAATATAAATTTCTTTGCAACTTTCCGCTAAACATATAAAATGATGTGTCTTACCTGGATTGAAGCGCACCTCCCGCCCTCCCTCAATTGCATACACTAACTCCGTCACCACTAGACCAAGCACCACTACTCTCAACACCACTATTCCAGGCAAGACACACCATCGACGATAATACGACACGTGTTTCGCCTCTACACGAGGCATCCTCAGGTAATATAGACTCTACGGCGGCTGACCGCTAAGTGTCCGCGACTTAGCGGTCAGCCGCCGTAGAGTACACACATCACATCATTTTATATGTTTAGCGGAAAGTTGCAAAGAAATTTATATTTTTATTTTTTATTATAATGGATTTCCGCAAAGTAACGCCTGATTCTATCAATTACATTCAAGAGGGCTTGTCTTCAATGTTATTTAGTTAGTGTAGTAAAATAGGACTGAGGACTGAGGTGGAATGCCTTGTTTCTAGTAAAAAAGGGTCTATGGATCTCTACATTCACCACACGAAACACACCAGTATTAAGCTGCTACTTTACGCTGGTATTCTGTGAGAGCGTGGTTCTTCCCCGGTCGAGCCGACCCATTCGTGCTACAAACATAATACAGCTGCAGCGTGGCTCTACCAATTACACCCACGTACATAACTAGTAATAATAAAAGTTATCGTGTTTATTTTAACATATTTTCAACTTCAGACATTTCGGATGCTTTCCAACACACATAGGTGTTTAAAGTTCAATGTCATGGCTAACCCTGGCTACT